AGGGGAGCGCAGGGGGAAGGGGGGGGGTGGGGGGGCACGGTTGGTCGGAATAAGGGAGGGGGGCTCAGGGGGGGGCGCGGGGGGGGGGGGGGGGGGGGGGGCACGGTCGGTCGTCGGAATAAAGGGAAGGGGGCGCAGGGGGGCGGAGGGTGGCGCCACGTGGCGGGTCGGAATAAGAGGAGGGGGGCGCAAGGGGGAGGGCGGGGGGGGAGGGCCCACGGGCCGGAAATAAGAGGGGGGGCGCAAGGGGGGAACGAGGGGCGGCCCACGGTGTCGGAATAAGAGGAGGGGGGCGCAGGGGAGGAGCGGGGGGGGTGGCCCACGGGCCGTCGGAATAGAAGACGGGGGCGCAAGGGAGGAGCCTGAGGAGCGGGGGGTGGGCCCACGGTTCGGGTCGGAATAAAGGGAGAGGGGGGCGCAGGGGAGGAGCGGGGGGGGCCCACGATCGGCGAATAAGGGGGGGGGGCGCAGGGGGAGGAGCGGGGGGGGTGGCCCACGGTCGGTCGGAATAAGGGGACGGGGTGCGCAGGGGGGGAGCGGGGGGGGGCCACGGTCGGTCAGAATAAGGGGAGAGGGGCGCAGAAGAGGAGCGGGGGGAGTGGCCCACGGTCGGCCGGAAGAAGGGGACGGGGGCGCAAGGGGGGAGCGGGGGGGGGGCCCACGGTCGGTCGGAATAAGCGGAGGGGGGCGCAAGGGGGGAGCGGAGGGGGTGGCCCACGGTCGGTCGGAATAAGGGGAGGGGGGCGCAGGGAGGGAGCGGGGGGGGTGGCCCACGGTCGGTCGGAATAATGGGAAGGGGGCGCAGGGGAGAAGCGGGGGGGGTGGCCCACGGTCGGTCGGAATAAGGGGAGGGGGGCGCAGGGGGGGAGGGGGAGGGGCCAGCACGACCACCAGCACGACCACCAGCACCTCCACCAGAACGGCCAGCAACACGACCGCGAGCACGACCACCAGCACGACCACCAACACGACCACCAGCACCTCCAGCACGGCCAGCCACCAGCACGACCACCAGCAGAACCACCAGCACGACCACCAGCACGACCACCAGCACCTCCACCAGAACGGGCACCAACACGACCGCCAGCACGACCACCAGCACAAGCACCGGCACGCCCAGCCACCAGCACGACCACCAGCACAACCACCAGCACGACCACCAGCACGACCACCAGCACGACCACCAGCACCTCCACCAGAACGGCCACCAACACGACCGCCAGCACGACCACCAGCACAAGCACCAGCACGACCACCAGCACGACCACCAGCGACCACCAGCACGACCAGCCACCAGCACCTCCAGCACGGCCAGCCACCAGCACGACCAAGCACGACCACCAACACGACCACCAGCACCTCCAGCACGGCCAGCCACCAGCACGACCACCAGCACAACCACCAGCACGACCACCAGCACGACCACCAGCACGATCACCAGCACCTCCACCAGAACGGCCACCAACACGACCGCCAGCACGATCACCAGCACAACCACCAACGCGACCAGCCACCAGCACGACCACCAGCACAACCGCCAGCACGACCACCAGCACGACCACCAGCCCAGCACGACCACCAGCACGACCACCAGCACGACCACCAGCACGACCAGCCAGCAGCACGACCACCAGCTCGACCACCAGCACCTCCCAGCACGACCACCAGCACAAGTACCAGCACGACCACCAGCACGACTGCCAGCACCTCCACCAGAACGGCCAGCAGCACGACCACCAGCACGACCACCAGCACGTCCACCAACCACGACCACCAGCACGGCCGCCAGCACAACCACCAGCACGACCGCATTATGGGCACACGGTCGGTCGAAATAAAGCAGTGCGAGATCACACCGGTAGGTATGATGATAATACTACCACTCCATGTGTCCCAGTGGGTGCGTGCTAGAGTACGTCCCAGAGGGTGCGCGCGTGCTGGGAGCGTGCGAAGCACGCCCTAAAGGGTGCGCGTATCACACGTGTCCCAGTGGATGCGCGGCAAAGCACGTCCCAGAGAGGGTGCGCGTGTAAGGCGCGCGAGAATGATGGGGCTTCTAGCTGGAAGGAGCAGGCCGACTCGCGGCCTTCAGACACCCCGCGAGGACGAGAGCAAGGCCGCAGACACCCCATTGGCTGCTCCCCAAGGCCGCAGACACCCCGCGAGGACGAGAGCATAGTGGCGCACGCGGTGCAAAAGGGGCCCACGCACACCCGCGAGGGTCTGCCTGCCTCTTCTGTTCCCAGCCTGCGAGCTGCTCCGCGTCCCGCCTGCTGACCCTTCCTCCTCCTCCGCCTCCTCCTCCTCCTCCTCCTCCTCCTCCTCCTCCTCCTCATCCCCCTCCTCCTCCTCCTCCTCCTCCTCCTCCTCCTCCTCCTCCTCATCATCATCCCCCTCCTCCTCCTCCTCCTCCTCCTCCTCCTCCTCCTTTTCCTCCTCCTCTGCATGGTCGTCGGAATGGCATGGTAGGTCTCTTGGGGACCTCTGGGAGGAAGTTTGGAGGCTTCTCGGCGGCCGCGCTGGCTCCTCTTGACGGCGTCTTCGGGGTTTGTTAGGAGCCGTTCGGAGCGTTTTTGGAGCCTCCTGGGGGCGTCGTAGGGGCCTCTTTAAGCTTCCCGGGAGCCTGTTGGAGCCGAGAGCCCTGAATGTCCCTTCGGGCACCCCGTCTAAGCTCGCTCGTGAAGCCGTCTTGAGAGCCTCTGGGGTCGTCTTGGAGGCTTCTTGGGCCGTCTTGGGGCCGTGTGGCGGCCCTCTTGGGCCGTCGTGGGACCGTGTCGGGGGCCTTTCGGGCCGTCCCGGGGCGGTCTCAGGGACCTCTGGGGCCGTCTTGGAGCGTCGTGGATATGAAAAAGCGAAAATAATATATATATATATATATATATATATATATATACATATATAACATTGAAAAAACAATGATTTGTGCCTCTGTGGCCTCTCTTGAGAGGCCTCTTGGAGGCCCGTTTGGGGCGTATTGGAGGGCTCTTGGATCGGTTTGGAGGCCACTCGGGCCGTCTTGGAGGCATCTTGGGCGAAGTTGGAGGCCTCAGGATCCCTCCGGAGCCGGTTTGGAGGTCATTTTGGACGGTTTTGGGCTATCTTGAGGCCATTGGAGGCCGTTGTCCGAAATCCGCCAGCGCAGTTTCAAAGTGCAGCGCGTACCCGATTATTAATTTTTGCCGCCAACAGGCGGTCCACGCCATGGGCGCTTCCCGTCATCCGCCACGTCCCGATCAAGGCCCGATCCCGCCACCACTCCTCCCCCTGGACCCCTCCACTTGATACATGTTTTCCCTCCGGGCCGTGAACCAACGTCCATCGCGCGACTCTTCGAGTCTAAGCGCGTTTCCCGTCATCCGCCACGTCCCGATCAAGGCCCGATCCCGCCACCACTCCTCCCCCTGGACCCCTCCACTTGATACATGTTTTCCCTCCGGGCCGTGAACCAACGTCCATCGCGCGACTCTTCGAGTCTAAGCGCGTTTCCCGTCATCCGCCACGTCCCGATCAAGGCCCGATCCCGCCACCACTCCTCCCCCTGGACCCCTCCACTTGATACATGTTTTCCCTCCGGGCCGTGAACCAACGTCCATCGCGCGACTCTTCGAGTCTAAGCGCGTTTCCCGTCATCCGCCACGTCCCTATCAAGGCCCGATCCCGCCACCACTCCTCCCCTGGACCACTCCAGATAGATATTTTCCCTCCAGGCCGATGAGCCACGTCCATCGCGCGACTCTTCGAGTCTAAGCGCGCTTCCCGTCATCCGCCAGTTTCGCGGGACACGTGTTTAAAGAGACCCTTGGTAAGAGATTTCCCTCCGGGCATACACCAACGTCCATCGCGCGACTCTTCGAGTCTAAGCGCGCTTCCCGTCATCCGCCAGGCCATAATTATTTAGCGATCCCGGGCCCTTCCCCCTCAGACTCCCCCCAGTTGAAAATATTTCTCTTCGGGCCTGCACCAACGTCCATCGCGCGACTCTTCGAGTCTATGCGCGCTTCCCGTCATCCGCCAGGGTCTAATCACGGAGGTCCCCCGAGACCTTCCCCCCCTGCACCTCCCCAGATCAAAAATATGTTCCCTTAGGGCCGAAACCAACGTCCATCGCGCGACTCTTCGAGTCTTCGCGCGCTTCCCGTCATTCGCCGACCCGTTTGGGGTCTCCAACCACGCGAACTTTTCCCCCCTTGAGTTTCCCTGGCGGGTTGACAGTCTCACGTTTGAAAAATGGTACAGGCAAAGTCTGGCTGGGTAAGATCCAAAGCAATTTCGAACCACGAAGCCGCCAGAATGACCTCCAAAACTGCGCAAGATGGTTGCTCCAAACATGGCCATATTGTCTCCACGTCGGCTCCAAATCGAACCGAAACAGCCACAACTGCTTGAAGACGGCGCAAACGCCCCCAAGACGGCCCAGCACAGACCCCCCAACTGCGGACTAGGCAACGCCACAAGGAGGACATAGAAACGAGACTACGCAGACGGGCATGTGATAATTGAGTCCGTCGACCCCGCACAAGTAGAGGCACAACTCATCCAGGACACCTTGCAGAATGACCATGGGCCAATGAACAAAAAACCACGGCAGCACTAACAAGGCAGGGCATGCGCCCCAAACGTCCCCCCAAGAAGCCAGCACGGCCCAGCAACCAAGACGGCCCCAGAATGGCTGCAGAAGCACCCGAAGCCCCTCCCTGGCCAATTGCATCCGCATGGCGGGCGCGCCGGCCGATCAAACACCACGCGACGCCAAACAACAGAGAAAAGAGACAGTCGCAGACAGCTGCCAAGATGGCCCTGACAAATTTGGACGCCAGGACGGATAACAACACGCCAAAGACAATCCCGAAAAGTAAGGGGTCGGCGGATGTGGCGCAAGCCTGAAGACTCTTGTCTGTCTTCGGGGAAGGCTTAGATAACTTCTCAGAAGGTCGGGGGGCTTCCGAGCCTTCTGAGAAGGCCCGCCCCTTCTCACTTCCCCCCTGGGCTTGCCGCCGAGCCTTAACGTGGACTCGCCCGCAGTCTTGGACTCCTGCTTGACCTCGAACTCGTTGTCGTTGGTCACAACCGGGGAAGAGTACTTGTTTTCCGCTGTCGATTGTGGGTACTGAAACAAGTCTATCATCTCGGCCCACAGTCTCTCGTAGCTGATGTGCTGGTCCAGCGGCTCTGACACCGCGCTCTTGAACGCGGCGTTGGTGGGAGACGGCACGCCCTGTTGGACCTTCACTGATGTAACTTTTGACCCAGCCTTTTTCAAAATCGACTCTAGCATGCCCACCGCCCAAGACGCCCTGGCGGCGCCGAACTTCCTCTCGCCGGGTGTCTCACCCCACCACTCCAGCCGCAAAGGGTTCTTGTGCAACACCGCGAAATTTCTCTCCCTCACGCGGCCTCGAGCTCCATAAATCTCCTGGGACATAGTCCCCTTGGCACTATTGAGGGAATACTTGATGAAGTTCTGGTCGTCTTCGCGCATCTTCCTTCCTGGAGTGTTCGCGACGAGCGTGGCCTCGTCAAGGGTGGCGAACACTTTGAATTCGGTGTCAGAGACCACTACTACCTCCCGCGACTTCACTTCAGGCACCTTGGGCGGGTTCTTCTGCAGCATGACCCAGTTGTCCCAGAGCTTGTCGAAGCTCGTGAACTTGCCAAGGGGTTCCGAGACTACGCTCAGCAGTCCCGAACCGCTCGGAGACGGGAAATTGGGATGAACCTTCGCAGGACCCGTGCTCGCAGGCTTTACGCGAAGGGCGATCGTGTCGACCAAGGTTTGCACGTAGGCAGCCTTGGCCTGGCCGCTCTTGCGCTCGCCGGTGGCCTCGCCCCAGTGCTCCATGCGCAGCGGGCTCCTATGGACCATGATCCACGACTGCTCGAAGCGCCTTCCCAGGGGTCCGAAATGCTCTGCGTAGATCTCCCCGCTTGCCTTGTTGATCTTGTACTTCACCGTGACCTTCGCAGTGTCCTTCATGAAGACCGCGGTGAACTCCTCCGCCGAAACGGTCTGCACCTCTGCGCCAACTTTGCACTCCTGGAAGAAGAGAAAACTGCACACACCTAGACGTTGTGAGGTCCGCACGGAATTCTTAGATCGGCGCTGAGTGCCCCGCTCCCTGGCGGCACTCGTAGCGCACTGGGGAGAGCGCCAGAGACGGCGCCAGGGGGTCCAGAGCCGATCCGAAAAATCGACGCGGACCTCTGAAGTCTATGTTCGTGCATGTTTTTGTCCCATATCCAAAGGGTGGGGTTCTTGTTCCCCATACCCAAAAGATGGGGTTATTGATATTACTCCGACCGCACGGACCTCCTTCCTCACCTCCTCCATCTCTTCCCCATCCTACTCTGTCGCCGTGCGGACCTTCCTCTCACACTTCCTCCTCCTGAGATGCTGACGATGATAACAATAATAATAATAATAATAATAATAATAATGATGATGATGATGATGATGATGATCATGGTTGGTATGATGCTGATGCTGATGATGCTGCTGTTGCTGACTCCCCGTCCCACTCAGAGTATGATGATGATCATGATGATGATGATGATGATGATGATGATGATGATGATGATGATGATGATGATGATGATGATGAGAAGGATGATGATGATGATGATGGTGATGGTGATGGTGATGATGATGATGATGATGATGATGATGATGATGATGATGATGATGATGATGATGATACTGATGATGGTTATGATGCTGAGCATATCCTGAGGATGTCTCAATTGGTTTGCTGGTTTTCGCACTCCTAAGAAGGTGGTGGTGGGTGGTGGGGGGTCGCCAGGGGTATTGCACGGCCTCCGTTCGCGCTCAGATTGCGGGGATGTCTCAGGCGGTTTGACTGTTTCGGTGCCCCAGCGTCCTTCGCTTTCGGAGCAGATCCTGAGGATGTCTCAAGCGCTTTGCTGGTTTTCGCACTCCTAAGGGGGCGCCGCCAAGGGTATTGCACGGCCTCCGTTCGCGCCCAGATTGCGGGGATTTCTCGAGCAGTTTGCCTGTTTCGGTGCCCCCACGTCCTTCGCTTCCGGAGCAAATCCTAAGGATGTCTCGAGCGAGGCGCTCGTGCTCGCCCCCCCAAGAGGGAGGCAGATGTTGAGGATATCTCGAGCGATTTGCCTATTTTGCTGGACAGACTCGTGGGCACGGATCCTCTTCAGGATGCCACAGGAGGCTCTGGCAGGCTCCAGGAGGCCGCAGGAGGCACCAGGAAGTATCAGGAAGCATCAGGATGCCACAGGAGGCCCCAGGAGGCTCCATGAGGCCACACGAAGCCACACGAGGCCCCAGGTGGCCTCAGGAGGTCACAGGAAGCCCGAAGAGGCCCCAGGAGGCTCCAGCAGGCTCCAGGAGGCTCCAGGAGGCACCAGGAAGTATCAGGAGGTATCAGGATGCCACAGGAGGCCCCAGGAAGCTTCAGGATGCTCCAGGATGCCACAGGAGGCCACAGGAGGCCACAGGAGGCCAAAGGAGGCCACATGAAGCGCCAGGAGGCACCTGGAGGCCCCGGAAGGCACCAGGAGGCCCCAAGCGTTCCCAGGAGCAGGAGGCCTCAGAAGGCCACAGGAGTGGCTCCAATCTCATGTGGTGTACGTATGCTCCTATAGATTGTGCCTCCCCTGGAGCACGAGTCCTTTGTGGTTTACATTTGTTTTCTGTAAACTTGGCATCCCCTGAGGCACAAGTCCTTGGTGTCTTACGCGTGTTCCTATAGATTGCCCTTCTCCTGCGGCTCCAATCCGTAGTGTGTTTATGCATGTCGGTTCTTATAGATTGGGCCTCTCCTGCGACACGAATCCTCCCCAGGAGGCCCCAGGAGGCTCCACGAAGCCCCCCTCAGGGGGCCACAGGAAGCCCCAAGAGGCCCCAGGAGGCCCCAGGAGGCCACAGGAAGCCCCAGGAGATTTCAGGAGGCCACAGGAGGCCCCCGGCTCATGCGCAGAGAAGCGCTCGTACTACTGAGACTCATTCACACTCCAACTCATTCACAATTAGAGTCACTCCCACACCGTCAATACTCAAGCCCGCTTATATTCGAAAACTCTTGCGCCTAGACAGTCACGGCGGATAGGTCCGTGCAAATACATCCCCAGGACGAAAGTTTTCCCCTTGGGCCCGGAACGACGGTTTGAAGTCTTGAGCAGAAGCGTATGAGATAACCGCCGTCGAATTCCATGAAGTTCGCGCGGATCCAAGTGTGACGTCTGTGCTTTTTTGGTGGATCCGATTTCCGTCCGCGCGGATCCGATTTCGGATTTGATAGATCCGTGTTCGATTTCAATTTTTACGGCGGATCCGATTGTTACCCCGTTAAAAAATTATTCCCCAATCAGTGTTTGTACTGAATAGGTCCTCGCGGAAGTTGAAAGATTTGGCGAAAATGTCCCGCCGATGTTGGTCGCACGCTGGGTTCCTGGGTTTCCGGTTCTGGGTTTCCGGGCTCCTGGTTCCAGACCAATTTCGGAGGGCGGCGAGGTTCCCGGGTTCCCGGATTCCTGGTCGATCTTTTTATCGATCGGTCTCACAATGGATCTCATTACCCACTTATCTTTCGATCTCACCATCGATCTCACAATCGATCTCACTATCGATCTCACAAGCGATCTCACTAGAGATGACATGAGCGATCTCGCGATCGACCTCATTGAATCGACTTCACTCTCGATCCCACGATCGACCTTACAATCGTCCTCACGATCGATTGCGCTATCGATCTCATTATCGATCTCACAATCGATCTCAAGATCCATAGTATTAATTTTCAAATCATCCACTGATTGGGTTTTCTCAGGTGTAATTTATTTGAATTAAAACGGGAAGCCAGAGGAAATCGGATCCGCGGACCTCGGAACCAGCACGTGTTAAGATTCTACGGGGGAAGGGGCATCGGTCATTAACTTCCAACTCATCATCGCCATTTACACCTCAAGAGGAAAATCTTTCGTCCTGCGTACGTAAGTGGATGCACATGTGGGGAGCTCCACGCAGTGAGTAATTTCCCCTGAGGGTTCTGACTGTAATCCTTCTAACGCACGGTGAAGGATGCCGAGGCCCCCGAACTCGGTTGCCGATCGTGGCCACCCATCGCGCAGCTGTGTTCAGCCGTTTAGGGTCTTCTGCCGCAAGGGTGCCATCATATTCCCCGAGCTCCTGCACGCAGCCGTTCCAGAGCGTCTCAAAGTCCATGAACTTGTCCAGCACGCTGGACACAGCGCTCTTCAGCCCTGAGCCGCTGGGCGAGACGGCATCTGGGGCCACTTGCGTCTTGCTGACATCCACGACGCCGCCCGGGCATGCCTGCTTGACGACGGCGTCCAGGATCTTCTGCAACTGCTTGGCCTTCGCCGTGCCGCTCTTGCGGGCCCCGGGCGTCTCCCCCCACCACTCCAGACAGAGCCCGTCCTTGTGGAGGACGCACCTGAGCATCGCTTAACCGATTCCTGTCCCCACTGGCATGGCCTCAGCCCCACTGGCCGACTTCCCCCAGGTGGGAAAGTGTCCTGCTCTCTACGAGTTTCGCAGGACCTATCCCCACCTGCTGGTGGGGCAAGGATGCCATGACCCAACGGGGATGGGGATCGGTTGAGAGATGCGGAGCACCAGTCCCTGTCCCGAATCTTGCCGCCCTTGCCGTAAGTCTCCATCTGGATGCTCCCCGCAGCGGGGTCGACCGAGTACTTGACGATGCTCTCCTCGTCTTGGCCGGCAACGGTGCCCTTGCCGATCTTCTGGAGCACCTTGCCGTCAAGAAACTTCGTGACCGTGAAGACGTTCTCCGACTCCTTGACGCACTTGGAATCGCGCAGCGCGAACTGCTTCGGCGGGGCCTGCAGCAGTCCGATAAGCTCCTTCCATACTGTTCCAAAATCGCCGAATTGCGTGAGGGATTCTGTAACCACGCTCTTCAGCCCAGAACCCGAAGGAGATGCGGCGCTGTCCTTGACCAGGACGGACATCGGGAGCTGCTGCTGGGGCCGGCCGGGCTCGGGCTGGGAAAAACAGGCTCGAGCCAGAGTGGTTTCGGACGGATTGCCGTGACAATGACGCTGATAACTCCCTTGGTGCGGGGGGGGCAGGAGGGCTGCAAAGGAGAGGAGCGTACTGAGGGAGGGAAGAGGACGAGGATGAGGAGGAGGCTGGATAGGAGGGGGATGACGAAAGCAAACAAAGAGGAAGAGAAGGAGGAGAAGCAGGAGGAGGAGGAGGAGAGGGAGGGGGATGAGGGCAAGCTAGGTGCGCTAGCGTCACATCTGACGTCCTACCCATCCCTCCCATCCCTTACCATGGCGTAGATCTCCGATCTACGCGCACAGTCAGATGTCGAGCAGGGCAATGATCCCAAGAGGGTACGCGATGGATGGAAAAGCATGGCGTGAAGAGCACGGCAGATCATTGCATGTCATAGCATGGCGTGGCATTGCGTAGTAAAGCAGTGCATCACAACGCATAGCAACGCAAAGCATGGCACCTTACAGCGGTGCACAACACAGCATCGCATTGCATGCCATGGTATGGCACCGGTTGACTTGGAGGGTAAGAGGTCCGTCTACGAGAAGACAGGGCCTGTCCGGAATGCCGGCTCCATGTCCTCCGTAACCTCGTGAAGGCACGATGTGGGCGATTTCGAATGCCAAGTGCCGTCCAGTAGGGGTACTGTAATTTTGAAGCATCCCTCCTTTCGACACGCTGCCTCACGTTCTCCGAATCCCCTTCCATGTCTCCCTGGGCTCTGGGCTCCCCGGAGCACCGGGAGCCCAAGGAGACCCGCGGGAACGAGGTCAGCGCTGCAACGGGAGCACGATTTTGAATGACCGAAGCGCGGAAATGAGGGCGGCGCTGCAGAGCAAACTTCTGGAAGAACCGGAAACGACCGGATTGCCAAAACATATAGGGAAACCCAAATCATGGAATCCTGTATAAAAGCATACGCGGGGAGGACGGGAGACCGTCCGGACAGAGTCAGGGGAGAGAGGAGAGTAGTATTCACATGGTGTGAATGTAGAGTGGGGAGAGGAGAGGCAGAGAAGATGATGATGATGATGATGATGATGATGATGATGATGATGATGATGATGATGATGATGATGATGATGATGATGATGATGATGATGATGATGATGATGATGAGGAGGAGGAGGAGGAGGAGGAGGAGGAGGAGGGAGGAGGAGAAGGAGGAGGAGGAGGAGGAGTGGGTGTGGGTGAGGGGGAGGCGGGTGATGGAGCGGACGCATGGGAGCAACGACTCCACAGCGGGCTAAGGGCCTTGCTCCCAACGCAAGACGCCACCACCACCTCGCCTCTGTGCACGTGCCCGGGAGGGTGCGCCAAAGCCGGCCCGTGAGAGGGCGCGAAAGCCGCTCCACAGAGGGCCCAGGGGGGGGCGGGGGGTCCTCCTCCTCCTCCTCCTCCTCCTCCTCCTCCTCCTCCTCCTCCTCCTCCTATCCCCAGACATCCGGCTGTTCCAATTTTTTGGGGGGGCGTGGACCCCGGAGGTCCGGGCCACTTCCCCGGGACTGGTCTTTCGTCCCGAATCGCTTTGTTGACGCTCCTGAGGCCAGGCAAGGGCCCCCTGAGGCCGAGAACTGCCAAACACCGCCTGCCCAATTGTTTTTGGAGCGTCGGATCTCAGCCCAAACATGCGACGTCGTGATTTTTTCAGGACGGCGTCCCTGGAAGTCCCGACCCTTTCCCCCGGACCGGTTTTTCGTCCTGAGTCGTTTCTTGACGGTCTTGGGGCCTGGCGAAGGCCTTTATAGGATCGAAAAGAACGAAAAACCTCCCGTCCTGATTTCTTCACGATGCTATCTTTCTGGGGAGGCAGGGCCCAAAGGGGGGGGGGGGAGGGGATCTGCGCGCGTGTTCCCCCGCCTCGGCTGGGCGCCCGAGTTATCCGGGGTAACTCGGGTCCGGGGTAACTCGGGTTTGGATTCCCGAAAAAGGAACCCGAGTTAGCCCTGACCCGAGTTACCCCTGATGATTCTGGGGCTCTGGACGCCCGAGTTATCCAGGGTAACTCGGGTCCGGGATAACTCGGGTTCGGACTCCCGAAAAACGAACCCGAATTAGCCCTGACCCGAGTTACCCCTGATGACTCTGGGGCTCTGGACGCCCGAGTTATCCGGGGTAACTCGGGTCCGGGATAACTCGGGTTCGGACTCCCGAAAAACGAACCCGAGTTAGCCCTGACCCGAGTTACCCCTGATGACTCGGGGCTCTGACTCGGCCTCCTCGCAGCCCATCGGTGGTTCCGGCGGGCAGCGACCCCGACCTTCCCCAGAGCCGCGCCCTGCCCCGAGAAGTTCGAGGCATACCGGCCGCTCGTGCGCGGGGCTCGGAAGCTGGAATGAGGTCGGGCGTGTCCCCCCCTTACAGGCGCATTGTGGATGAGAGATAACCGACCACGGGCGAAAATAAAGTACCCCCCATACCCCCCTATATTTTTGATCCCCGACCACGGGGATTCATCCGTGGGAAAGGACGCGGAGGCCGAGCTTGAGAATCCACGGACACATTGCGGGGATCGAGGTTGCTATCATATCGTGTTGATTAGCAACAACATCAAAAACGCTGAGCGTGGCCATGGTGGTCTCACCACACCAGCTTCCGCAATCACGAGCGTGTGGCAGGGCTGTGGGAGTTTCACCAATTCAGTATGGCCACGTTACGACCGTGCGTCAGGGACATGGGAATCTAATTTCCTTAGCCGTTCCCGAGTCAGGCAGGGCCATAGGGACCGATTGGATTTTCACTGTGCATGCGCTTTTTCGAGCAGGCAGCGCGTTGGAGTTAGTTAGTTCAGTGACTGTTTTTTTTGCGCACCCCTCATACGGTTCGTGGCCCTTCCTCCTCCTCCTCCTCCTCCTCTTCCTCCTCCTCCTCCTCCTCCTCCTCCTCTCCTCCTCCCTCCTCCTCCTCCTCCTCCTCTCCTCCTCCTCCTCCTCCTCCTCCTCCTCCTCCTCCTCCTCCTCCTCCTCCTCCTCCTCCTCCTCCTCCTCCTCCTCCTCCTCCTCCTCCTCCCCTCTGCCCCCGCAGCTGCCCAGGCCCTAGATTCCCCGAGTCTCCGAGACTCTAAGCTTTCGAGCCTCTTCGAAGCGCCGAGCCTCTTCGCCCCAGGGACAGCGATAGGGGGGGATGGCGTGCCCATGCATCAACGATGTATCGCCGATGCATAGGCAGTGGGGGCGGGGCATCGACCTGGAATCTGCGATACATCGCCGATGCACCGGGCGCGCATCGCCGATGCATCGGCGATGTATCGCCGATTCCAGGTCGGCGCCCCCCCAATGCCTATCCCCTCACATCGTTGCCCCTGACTGCGTTGCGAGCCCCAGCGATCGCCCAGCCCGCCGAACGCGCAGCTGCCGCGAGCCTGCCCGTCGAGGCGCTGAAGCACGTGGCGGCGCCGAGCCCGAGCTCGAACGAGATCCTCGAGCGCACGGCCAAGCAGAACGAGAGGATCACCGAGCAACTGAGCTACATCGCCGAGAAGGTCAGCATCGCCGAGACGCGCCAGTGCCAGTCGAGCGCGCAAGGCACGGATGCTGCGAGGATGACGAGCTGCTACTTCAAGGCCGAGAGCGCCTCGTGGTCGTCGAGCGCACAGCAAGCCGCGCTGGCGATGGTCTACCAAGGCGGGCGCCACAAGAACATCGAGTACGGCCACATTTTCAACGAGAAAGACAAGAGGCGCATCAAGCTAGCTGTGGCGGTGTTCTTCAAGACCTACGTCGAGAAGAGCGAGCACGCGTACGACATCTTCGAGAACCACGGAGAGCCGCTCGAGGGCCGTTTTCTGGCTCATGCCGACCTTCAGGGCCAAGCTGCAGAAACTGGCCAAGGAGAAAGACATGGAGCTCGGCGCCGAGAACGTCAAGAAGCTGACCCACGGCTCCTACACCGTGCACATCGGGTATGCCCTCCCAAGCATCCCCGCCGAGCTCCTCCACCTCCACGAGCTAGTGCTGCCGCTCAACGAGGAGTTCGAGCCCGTCGAGCATTTGGACGAGAGGCCCGCCGAGGGTGCCGAGATGCTCTTCAAGATGATTCCGAGCAGGGCCCCAGCGCTCGATCGCGCCGGACGGGGTCTCCAAAGCCACCACATCGGCCATCATCAAGTGGCGTTGGTGCATCCAGATAACCGCCGACATGAGCTACGAGCTGCACGAGCAGAGCTACCAGGACAAGCGCGACAAGCTGAACTACTCGGAAACCGTCAAGCAGCAGCCGCACCAGCACGAGCAGGTGCTTCTCGAGGACCACATCAAGCTGCACTTCGACAAGTTTGCGTCGATCCAGGCCGAGTACGACAAGCCCACCATGAACAAGCGCGATGACGAGAGGAGCCAGGTCGACACGAAGGCCGAGTCAGAGCCCGCCTCGCCCGTGCTCGTGGACGCCTGAGCGCGCGAGCTCCCCGGGCCAAGTGCCCCATGTTTTTTGCTACGAGGGCGCCGTTTCGAGGCGCGCGCTCGAGACCCATCTGAGTTTCAAGCTCCAAGAGAGCGCTCGAGCACGCGCGAGGGGCGTTCCAAGCTGCGGGGTACTACTCCCCCCATCTCGCCGACTGATCCTCGATCAAACATCAAGGAATCAAGCGGGTTCGATTCTCCATCCTCGGATCGATGATCCGAGATCTTGAGTCCGAGCATATTCGGGCACCTTGGGTCCTAGATCCGAGGGCCCTCAAGCTTGAACTCGAAGATCTCGGGTTCAGGATCCGAGGATCGAGGATCGAGCCCCTGCGATCCTCAATCGTCACGCTGCCATCGAGCATGCTCGATCCTCCATCCTCGGACCGAGGATCCGAGATCATGAGTCCGAGCATCTTCGAGCACCTTGGGTCCTAGATCCGAGGGTCGTTAAGCTTGGACTCGAAGATCTCGGGTTCGACGCTCGGGTTCGACGCCCGCGGCTCGAGGACCGAGCATAGCGGCACTAAATCGCCCTCGCCGCCGTCCTCGAGCCCACGCTGCCGCCGAGCAGGCTCGACCCTCCATCCTCGGATCGAGGGTCCG